GTTTGATATTTTGTGCCGATTTTAGAACACATATTGTTTTCATTTGTTGTGCATCTCCTAGCAACCTGGCACATGTTTCTATGTGAGTTTGTTGTTCTCAGAACAAACTGAAAGTCTAGTGTGTGATCCTTGATTGTTTATGTCCATTTGTTTTAGTAATCATTTACAAGTTTATAACATCTAGTGTTTTGAAATCCCTTCAGATTATAAAAGTCATGCGTGTGTCATACATGCATGTATCATACAGGTTTGCAACAAAATGAGTTTGAGTAAATGACAGATGTGTCATTTTTGGGTAACCGGTCACTTTAATATCAAGGCAGAATGAGGTTGTTTACTGAGTAATATATGCAGAAGTTAATCTGTGATGACAATAATTTCATTTTGGTCACATGGGTAGTTAAAATTCCTCACAATGTCCAACTGAAACTTGTAGAATAATAAGCCATATAGTCATGCAAATCAAAATGGTCACATACTGAATAAATTGGTACTCTACAACAAAACGTCTCTGAGTGTCTTTCTGGATTCCAGACTGGGAGTCAGTGAAATTATCTCTGTAATGTATTCGAGCTATTTAGACAAATGCGGCACAAGCAAGACCTTTACTCAACCCTACAGTCCATCTGTCATCAACCTCTGTGGGAGGAACCAGATAGGCTAACAATTGGAGCATTGAGACCCTCTCCCAGCCCTCCTACACAGTTCTGTAACAGCCAGGAATACCTCCTTCATCTTGTCGGAGAGGTTCAAGTAAACAATGGAGGTATGCGTGTTTACATTTTCGGGTTAAGTAGATGGAAAAGAACATGGTTAGGAAATAGGGACAAAAAGCATTAAATAAGTGGAAAAAGAAGCAAGATGCCAGGCAGACAAATTCAAAGCCACATATGGACAGACAGCCAAGGGGTTTGAAAAAGCATCCTTTCGCCTCACGACAAGCCATATTTTAAACACAAGCCGGAATAGTATAGTTGTGAGTCATTTATCCCTCGCTCCCCCGTTTTTTTTCCTACTCTGCCTCTCTTAGACTCTTTCTCTGCCTAGTGTCAGATTTTCCAACTTGCTGATCTATTCCAAATGTGCTGCATCCCATCAAATTGCAGAAAGAGAGGGATGTTTTCCACACTGAATTCCCCCAAACTCTCTTTCCTCACTTGCTGTTCTACCCCATGCCCACCTTTCAAAGCCTTTCTCTTTTTATACATTAATTCCCATTCTGAATTGGTTAGGCTACTAAAGAAACAGTATACTAACAGTGGTAGGAAACTCCTTGCTTTTGTCATCCACTCACAGCTGTTTAACATGAGATGAAATGTTGCTGAATTCAATGCAATATACGAATACTCATCTTCTCCTTATGCAACAGAAGTTGCCCATGTCAAGGAAAAAAATCAGAAAATAGACCCAAGTAAACACATGTATGAGAAAACAGGACATGACATGAGGTTGGAAAGCTGGAGACAGAGTTGGAGGTCACGCGGATGTCTGAGACATGAGACATAACTCGATTTTCTCCCTTAATCTGAGTACAGTGCAGTTACTTTTCTGTGCAGAAAAAAAAACAACCTCTGTGAAATCATTTTAGCTGGTGCGCTAAGAAGAAAGAAAGGTACCCTTTATTGACTGCCAACACATTTTTTTTTGTGGAAAAATTCACTTTGTGTATCAGAAACTAAGTTTGGTCTTATGTAAAAGACCAGAATGGAAACATAAATACTAGCCTAAACTGAGTTTAAAAGGAAAACATAAAATTAAATTTGTTTAATGTATGATGGAAGCATGAAATGTAAACAATTTGTATCAAATGAACTGATCAACTAAATGTGAAACAGCTAAAACGACAGAACGTGAAAATGACATTTAGCTCGATATGAGATCATCCTAACAGACACTAGCTGCTGTAGTGGGCGTGCCTCTCCACGTGCCGCACCCAGAATACAGTATAAAGTTCTCTTTAAAATAATAAAAAAAGAACGCATATTGAAATAAAACGTTCTTAGTAGTTCTTACTAATGTCTTAGTAAATTCTTAGATTTCTGTCTCAGTCATTATTCCAGACGCAATATATAATTTTTTACACAAGCGCATCACGTGACGGGTGCAAATATAATATAAATATTTTACATTTTATTTAATTTTTATCTGTCAGATTGATCGCTACGGATACATGCCAAAGTGAAAGTTTGAACTAATTAGATCAAAGAATTGTATCGCTATCAGAATACAGAACGCAATTAAAACAATCAGTAGTTATAAAGAACGTGTGTGAGTATTCAAAGGTAAATATAACGGTGCTGGATGCTAGACGCGTCTGCTTTCAAAAAGATGAAAATATATCAACTATTCTCTGCCTATTTCTTACCGGCTTGTCCCGTTATCTTTCTCTCGACGTGCTCAGTCTGAAACAAGTAGGCGCGGTCTTGGATCTGACTTTTCATCAGTCAGGACACTTTAACCCAAGTTTATGAGGTATACCCTCCACCCACCCCCCAATCCGCCCATTACATGCCAAATTAGGTAATATGTTCTCTTTCTCTCTCTCACTCTCTCTTCTGCTCTTTCTTCAGCCCTAATAAACTGCAATTGCTCCTCACAAGAATTTCTGAGCATGAATTTACTTTTTCATTCATACAGTTACTGAATTCAGTCACCGCCAAAGAAAAAGACCCAGAGAGTGTATTCAGTAGGCTATAGTGTCTTTTACTGTTTTATTGACTAAACTTAGCTAACTGAATTAACTAAAAATAAACTAAAATTCACCACTACCGTTTACATTCCATCCCAGTAGACTATAACCTACCTGATCAGGCATTAAAGTGTCTGGATATATTACTGTTGTAATGCATGCTGAAAATGAATGTCATGCAGGAAATGTCAGTAAGCGCTGCGAATAGCTTGTGAGAGGAAAGACTATATAGGCCTAGCTCACAAACCCTAACAGGTTAAACCTAAGGTTGTATATTTATAATGAGGGTACGTAAACCTGAAAGTTAAGTCAATATACATATTAAAGCATATTTTACCTCCTATAAAATGTCTTAAAGAAAACTAGTGGTAAAAAGTTAATTTGTCCATGTCCGGCCTCTTGGTTGTGTAACTATTGTTATTTTACATCATCAAGTATCTCAAGTGGATGCTGGTCAGGAGAAGACAGAAACTTTTAAAAAGAGACTTTCAGACAGATGTTAGCGTATTATTTATTTATTTTTATTATTGTGAGTTCAGTACAAGCTGGATATAAGTGTTACATTCACTTAATAGCCACAGTTAACAGTATTTTAAAAAAATTATATTGTTCTTTAATGCAAGCCATTTGTCACCCATGTCAAAGAGAGATTTGTCAAGATAAAAGTAATTTTGGGTTCTTATCTATGTGCATTGATGAGAAACATCATTTGCCATTACCAAATACTTAACCAACAACTGTCTTGAAATAAATTAATGTCTCAATAAGGGTTCATAGGGTGATATAGTGAAAAAGTACTGTATATCAAACTGTATATAACCAAAAAATCCCAACATTTTATACCACCAGAAAGAGCTCTAGTCAAAAGTGCACCTTATGTTATCATACAATAATATCTACCTCTTGGTATTTATTTCTGTTGCTAGGATGCAAGAGCATGTTACTATGGAAACCAGCTGTTTGTTTGTGGTTAGAGTGATGTAGACTCGGAGCACATGTCCGCACACTGCAGAGAACTGCTGCAAAAAAGCGGAAACAGTGATTCCCCTCTTGCTTCAAACCACTCCCTTCCTCACAAGCTGTTACCATGTCCACACACCGAAATGAGAGAGAGAAACTATATTGAGAGGATGAGAGTTTACTAGGAAGGAAGAGTGTAGCTGAGCGAGATGAAAATAAATTTGCCCATTCGCACATCTCTTTCGATTTGATAATCTTGTTTGCTGTGATGTTGCAAGCAGTGATGAGCTGATAATAGTACTTAGGCTTCCATGACAACTGGTAATGCAAACTATCATGACTATCGTATTTATAAATAAATTGTATATTTAATAGAATGTATATAAAATGTATATAAATTATATAAAAATAAATCTATATATATTGTTCAGGATTATAGTTTAGTTAGAATGACAGACAATATAATTATTAATGTAATTATCAGTCCACTATTGTTAACACCACCGATAAAAACAAAAATCACTACTTGTCAGTAATCAAAAGATGATACAATAGTTAATTTCATATGACATTATTTTTTAAAGGCTGCTTCTGACTGGTAAGTTATCAAAAAAGTAATGTATTAATAATAATTTTAACTATTAATTAATATTGATTAATTACTGCAAATTATTCCAACTGAAATGTCACTTACATTTGCGTCCAGATGAGATTAATGCCATTTTTTCTAGTGCAGGGTGAGTGGACAGATATGTGGACAAATTCAATTACATTTCAAAATGTATTTCTAAATGTGGTACATTAATAATCTTAACATTAACCCTTTTGCTGAGACAGTAAATGTGATTTTGTAACATAGTAATGTCATTTTTCTAAACGAATGTAATATCACTCACTTTATTAATGTTTTTCCTCTACAGTTATGCAGTTTTGTGAGTTTTTGTTTTTTAATTTATATAAATAAATTAACATATTTTATGTAAAATTCACTTTTAAAAGATCCACATTTCTAACTTTCATTCTTGGGGATAATATGAAGGTAGAATGATGTCAAAAAGATTTGCATACGCAGGGTAATATTTGTGGAAGTGTACATAAGACTGTAAGCGTAAATTAAATTTGCATGCGCAAGAGAAGCTTTGTAAAGGTGTAAATCGCGTTTCAAGCGCAAGAAAAAATTATTTGCAGCATTTTACTGTTACTCGTAAGTGTAATTCATGTATTGTGAAACTGCAGCTTCATGCTAACGCAAAATAAATATGATCTGCATGCTTCTGACTTACATTTTTCCGCGCTTACACTTTTTGCACGTTTTTTTTCAAGCCTGTGAACAGTGATTTGCAAGCGAAAACAACAGTTTAAAGAACTGCAAAATGGCCTCTCGCTGACTCTCCAGTTACTCTTATCTGATTGGTCCAATCAACACATCATACCCAAGACATTAATCTTCATTTAGTTTAGGATCGTTCTTGCTGTCGGAATGGTACTTTTAACATACACATACAGTAACAATTTTTATTTAAAAATAACAACTTCATTAAAACATGCTCCTTTCATAAGCTGTGTTCCTTTAGGCTAGACTCACATGTGTTCATACTGAATTGCAAGCCGGTGTTAACATTTGTGTGTATGTGTGTGTGTGTGTGTGAGTGAGAGAGAGAGAGACAGCGTTTGCAATGTGGATGTGTGGAAGTACTGCCACTTAATTTCTGTGTATTTGTGTTCTGCGTTGTGACTCATTTAGTGATTTTATTAGACAAATTTGAAAAGAAAAATAATCAATTTCACTGTGGGTCTCCAGGCCCCGAACATCCTGACTCTGACTTTTTGTCACACTAACATACAACCAGAAATCATTCCAATTTTTTCTTTTCTTTTTTATAGCACAACGTGATAAAGTGATGCCATTTAGATGTAGGTAGCTTTTTATTTTTATTTTTATTTTTTTCAGCAAACATCATTTGGGGTCTCAAATGCACATAAAGGTTAATATTAAAATTGTATTGTAGTTAGTACTTGGTAATAATGTTTGTTTACATTGTTAATGAAAGTTGTTGTACATACAACTTTTATAGCTTTTCTCTCATTGAAATAATTGTGAGGGACCCTTAAGGCTGATTTATACCTCTGCGTCGGACCTACGCCGTAGCCTTTACGCCGTAGGCTATGCGTCAGTTTTCATTTATACTTCTGCGTCTGTGTCCGCGTGACGTCATTCTACCTTCATAGATAACATGGTCAATGTGCCATGGTGTAATGGAAAATTGCTGCCATCTACTGGAAAACAAACACTTTTAACATTAAAATATAATATGCTATATGAAGGAATTTTCTTTGTTTATTTTTGCAGGTGTTTTACTTGTATTTTGAAATTTGCCCTTCATTGTGTTGCGTTAAGTTTAATGGAAATGTCAAAGTTTAACATTTTTGGGTACTGAATCTTTTTTTTTCAATTATGACACATTATGTATGTGTATGTGTGTGTGTGTGTGTGTGTGTGTGTGTGGGCGGCATATAAATATCAAATCATTATTTAAAACTACAACAAGGAGACAACAACGGAACAGGAGATGATGGCATTCTTTAAATCTGCACAAGGACTTGTACCACGGCAGATCAACATTGTTTGTTGCGGACAACTACTGATGTATAATGCTATGTAGTATAATAAATGATAATACACTTGTTCTTTGCTTTGTTTTATTTTATATAAGAAGGTGTAACATTAAAATATATTAAATAGCACATAAACACACAAAACTCACGTACATATGGAGGGAGGGGTTCTTGCAGACCAATCACAGCGCTTGCGGTCTGCGTAGAATTGACGCGCTGTTAGATTTTTGGAGAGGTGCACGTCAGGCTACGGCGTATGGGTGTGCATCTATGCGTAAGCTACGGCGTAGGTCCGACGCAGAAGTATAAATCAGCCTTTACTCACCTTGCTGAAGGGAAATTGGTGTTATATGCTGCCACCTGCTGGTGAGAACCAAACATGCATTGTGGAATTACACATGGCCATTTAGTTTACTTTTCCTGTTTCCAACTCTTTTTTTAATTTAAATAAATAAATACTTTTTTCCCCCACGATCATAATCACAAATATAACAATGACTTTTGAGAGGGGTAGGGTGCTGGATCTGTATTCAAGTGGGTATTGAAGTATCAAACTTGCAGGTGTGTTTACCTGCGTGAGCGCGTGGCAGCTGCAGTGGCAGTGTGAATGCAGGCGAGGGCGGCGTGTCCTCACACATTTCAACGGCAATTAAAACACTGCGATGTCAGGAAGTAACAAGCCTCCAGCGTCGTCAACGTTCTGGAGGCGAGTTAGTATTCTTCCTTATTTCTCGTTGAACATTTCTCGGTGTTAGTCATTTATGCTGTTTACAGAATCTTGACTGTTTTACCTGTGCAGTATATGTCGGTTTATCGTGCCCGGTTAGGCAGCAATGCAGGTGGCTTTTAATAGTAGTTGAAGCACTGGAAGTTTTATCTGGAAAGCACGGCAAGATTTTTTCCATGTTGGAAATGACTCCGTTCTGTAACACAACAAGTGTGTTTTGAAACAGGTAAATTTATTGGTATTGGTATTTAATGTACTTTTTTTTTATTGTATTGGCAGTCCATTGAAAGATAACTATAGTCAGATTTTCTAAACTCTAAAAAGACAGTTTGTCACTGTTAAAACGCGTCATGACTTTTGTTTCGTGTTTGTTGATTATTGGATGCGTTTTTATTACACTGTATATAAAATTAAATACATTTTATGCTATGCTAGGATGGA